TGTTCTATTTGAAATGGGAAAAATTTGGCCATTTCGCACTTGAACATTTTATAGGGTTAGAGGAAAAGTGGAGAAAGGTAAATCAAAACTGAAGAACGTCCTTGAGATTTTTTTGTTCAGTTGAGTCATTTTTTATGTGGTAAGCATTCTTGACATTATTCAGCCTCAATTTATTTAGAAATTGACGCCAGCGCCCGCGTGAACTTCCGATCGCCAAAGGTTTATTAACTTTTGTCCAAATACTTAATTGCTCAATTTAAGTGAATAAATGCTTAATTCAAGTATAATTATTAGTAGATTCCCATTTTTTATAGAAAAAAAAGAAAATTATTGCAACACGGATGAACTGCTACCATGGAGTCAACATTGAGAAAATTGAGAACATAAAAAGATTCTTTTACATAATTTTACTAGCCCAGTTTAGAAAAATTGTTTTCAACAGTTTTTAAATGTGGAAATGTAAGCGTAGAACTAGTAGAAATCGACGAAAAAAGAAGCACAAAAAACCATTGAATTACAATTACTCCCCATAAATTGAATCATAAAATATTTATCACTCCACGTCACCTACGAATCTCCATAAATAAAATTCCACGGAACCAATAAAATCTGTAATATACATGAAATATAATGATGATTGAGTCAGTGAATGGATTATTGACTCTCCCTCCAAGAAAAAGATATTAAAGTCTGGAATTCCGACAGAAATAATCTCTTTTGAAAAAACAGACAACCACCTGTGAAATCCGTGCAACAAAGTAACCCAAGAGTCCTGAAAAGCGATATCCCACGTAATTGCAATTGCAAATAAAACGTTCTTTCTTCTCAACTGTTTTGTTGAAAGGTGTAAGAGCTTGTGCAATATCGAATGTTATTTTGTAACCACCGGCGTTAAATTTCCCGGAAAAACTTTGACTCCAAACTTTCGCATTCCAGAGGCCTGTACACTTTTTGTTTGAACGAGTATTGAATAAAAAGCATATGCAAAACAAGTGAACAAAACTGAAGGGCATATGTTTTCCATACACTTTTGTTTTTATTGGCTTTTTTATCAAGGTCTTAGCGTCGAAATTCGCATCGAGTAAAGCAGGAAAAAATAACAAATAAATAAATATTTTTATCACTCCCGTCACCCATTGTTTATTTCTCTCAAATCAGTAAATTCAAACAATAATTCTCACGTTACGGTTTAGCAGTCACTCAGTCCTGACTCCAAAAAATTCAAAACAAAAACGGGAAAAAAATTGAATTGTATGGGAGGTAGGAACGAAAGGAAAGAATTCAAGAAATTATCATTGTAAAAAAGCGTATTCGTAGCGGTTTTACTTGTGACTTACCGTAATTTGAGAACAGACAAATTGTCGACCCAATTTTACTCTGCATTGAAATTCAACACTCGTTAAAAAAAAAGATTGAAAGAAATGAATGGATAAAAAAAACGAAGCAAGAAATTTGATTGAGTGAATTTTTGTTGAATATTCAATTCAATTGAGTTTATTATTTCACTTGACATCTGAGTATCGATAACTCTGTATTCAACTCGAGAGAAATCGAATTAAAACACGAAGCAAGTGGCTCGTATCTCGACACCCACACAAGCGGCCAGAGAGCCATATTGAATGATCGAAAAAAACTTTGTGTTATCAAATTAATCGTGAAGAAGGTCGAATGCGCTGAGTTTATCTAAGTGTACACAAATGAAACACTCAAGCGAGCGCACTCACGAAAAGAATCGAAATTTTTAATCTAAAAATGAAAATGTTTCAAATTTAAATTAATAAAAATAAATTTTTGCATAATTTTTCCATTAATAAATTCTCTTGATGTTCATTTTTCTTGACTTTTTAGTCTTGAAATAACAATATCGGAGATGCAAAATTTACTACTGAGAAACTAGAATTGAGCTCTGAATTCTCTACCGTAAAATGGAAAGCAATAAATAGGTTACAGAATGTATTGAATTTTCACGTAATTCAGAACGGAAAAACCCGTCGGCAATATTGTAACAGTATTGTATTGAGAAGACACTAACGAAGTCAAAGTGAACCCCCTCCTGCGTATCCAATTCGTTACGCTGGATCACCCTTAGGTAATGGAGTGAAAATAATAATTGATTGGCATCAATGGAACTAGGCAAAGAAACAATTTGTCTGGTCACCGGCAAATCGATCCAATCCAGCTGTGGAGAGATTAAATGATTCAGATGAGGTAGAGTTGAGAAAAAACGTGGTCAATCAATTTCGATATCTCTTCAAATATCAATTGCCATGATGATAAAGCCGAACAAATAATCAACTAATCAAAGTAATCAAATCCAGGAATAGACAAATACGCTTGATAATGTCGAAAATAAATTCGGTATTGATACCCTGCAGAACGCAATTATCATTTGCCTTGTTCATTCATCAATATAATGCTGGGGAAAACCCGATTCGCATGAATCCTAGTAAAAATTAAATGTCCGAGCGCCGACACCCGGACTTCCCAGGGGCGACTCTCGTATAGTATACGTGTGGCTAATGGCGGAACGTCCCAGCTAACGCGCCCAGTATACGAGACCAAATGTCGGGGCGCGCACGCCCATCGAATGTCGCCCTGCCGGTAAGAAATTCTATGTAGTAGGGAAAGTGGAATGAAGCAAATGAACAATGAAAATGAAACAATATATCCTCAATTAATACCTTTCCAACCATCAATCATCATTTCCGCCTCTAATTGACGCCTCGTCACAATAACAAAAAAAATATTATTTTCCATATACGGTGTTACATTGAGTCGAATATGGATAGAAATATAATATTTACGTTGATCGTAACACTGTCGAGTGACTTCCTTCCGCAGATCATATGGCACTCCGTTATTCATTCATCAATAGACCCACTAGAGAAAACTCTTGACACTGATAAAAAAGCGGGATAAAATTCTGAAAAATTCCATTTCAGTGACTCAAATGCACAAAAGAATTTATCCCGAATTGATAATCATTCCCGCAACTTAATTGAACCCAAACCAGAAATAAAATATCCTCAAACCTAAATCTCAACCTTTGACCATCTACCCTCAAAGAAGAATAAAAGAATAAACTGAAATGGGTTCCCGCATGGATTTACGTGACATTCAGTCGAAAATCAATGAACCTCTGCCGTTTACATGGACTGTAAGTGTAAAGAAGTTCGCCCCGCCAGCATCGTCAAAAAATGAAAACTATAACACAAGTGGGAATGGTACACACGTCAAACGTGCGTAATTGATCAGATGTGCAAATGTTATTCGGCGATATCTTTACTCGGTTAATATCAAAGTCCAAATTAGTATATTTCAAAACCAAGTTGTGAAGAACTGTTGAATATGAGGTGTTAGGACGAGCCGATGGCGAGTTCTGTAATCATATGAACCAGAAAGGGCCTTCACGGGCGAGTATCAAATGTTATTTTAGTCGTTACCGCTCACGAACTATAGGGCTACCCACGAGACTCAAACGAGACTTTACTTTGGAGGGATCGTCTTGGTCTTGGTGATCACGAAAACTTTTGGTATCGTCACAGTCTCAAAAGAGGCAGTATCAGCTCTTCTCGTGATGACTCAGACAATTTATTTCATCTCGGTTTCCAGTTTTTCGCGTTTTTTATGTATAAAAGACCGAGACTAAAACCGAGACTTTAACATTGAAAGAAGCACGAGAAACTTGAGACTGAGATGAGATAAGTTAACTGTGAGTCATCACGAGAAGAGCCAATACTGCTTCTTTTGTGACTGTGACGAGATCAAAAGTTTTCGTGCACGGAGAGAAATATTCAGTAAAAATTACGGAACTCTCACTTCACTCACCGATTACGGAATCGACTCAGAAAATTTCAGTGACGGTATCGTAATTTTTACACGAGACACCTCGCCATGGAAAACATATCACCCTCCCCCATGTGCTTGTCATCCTCGGCTTCGGCTCGGAAGGCAATCTTGCACGTGGGGGACGGTGATCTGTTTTCCAATCCTCGGGCATGTAATGTACTATAGAGGTAGTGGAGGGGGCAGTTCTGCCGTGTATAGACACGCGGTGCGCTCGGCCTGATGTTTTGCTCAGTCAGTTAAAACTTTTCTTGGCCGATACGCTACCGCGTATTTCGACCGATACGCTACCGCGTATCTCGATTAAAGAAAAGATAAGACAAACAGGAATGATAATCGCATCAAATGCCTGGTAGTGCAAACGTTTTCCAGTGATAGTTTTACTCAGTATCAAAGGCACAAAACAGGAATTTACAATGAATATTTAAATATAATTATCATACATCTTCTCAGTCCATCAATCGCAATAATGTAAGTTCAGCAAATAATAATGGAAGATCAGAATTATTTGGGACATTGTCCTGGAGTCCGGAGTATATTTATAATTGTTCGCTCAATTATTTTATCTGGACAAGTTGAATTTGGAGTGAGAATTTCCGTGGTTCCCGGTAGCTTAGAATTTTTTCTTTCATTTAATTATTCATTAATCGTTAAATTGCGGAAACTTGCCTAAGGCAATGTATAGTCAACAATTCATTATGAAATAATGGAAAATCCTACAATAGAATCATAATGAATGAAAAACGAAAACCAAATTAGTTTTGCCACATGTATCTACGTGACATTCAGTCCAAGATCAATGGAACTCTGCTGTTTACATTGACAGTAAGAGTAAAGAAATTCCCTCCGCAGGTGTAGTCAGAAAAAAACTATAACATAAGCTGAAATGGTACAAGCGTCAAACGTGTAAATGCCCAAACGTGTAAAGTTATTCGACGATAGTTTTGCTTACTTAGTATCGAAGGCACTTTGGAAAAACAGGTTTCCGAACGCCAGGGAGAATGGTGTTTTATTTTGGTGGGGGAGTCCCCAAGACCGATGCCACCGAGTGGCCAACACAGCGTGGGGGGACAAGCGAGAGGCATGTCGGGGAGCAAAGGGAATACCGGCGACAAGTAGCGTTTACAGTTATAGTCAGTCCGGATCGGGCGCTCGTTCAGCCGGGATCACGCTCGGTGGCAACACGCTCCTTTCCACTATCATCTGTCGGCATTTAATCATTTTTATCAATCATTCCTAACATTCAAGGAAAATTACAACAATTGTTATTACCAATTTTCGCAATTTCTCATAGAAAAAAGATTGTGAATTATAAAAATAGTTCTCTTAATGAGTTTTGACTTTTTGTGATAACGGAGTTACTCAGTGAAATAAAAAGTATGCAATTGTGAATGATGAACTACATTAGTTTTTAAGTTATTTTAACAGTGGTTAATTCACTTGAGTTGTCGATTATTTTCGATTGATATTTACGACGGATTCCCGAGGAATTCCAAGAGTGCGATTAACGGTACCAGGACATCCAGTCTTGTCTTCCTACGCAAAGACATTTAAGACACATTGGAATTTTCATTCCATGTCCACGTGTTTTGTTTAACCATTGGTTTGCTTCAATGATCCTTGAATAATCCCAGAAAATTGTCTTGTTCTCTGGTCATTATCATTGCAACTGTCTGAGAAATTATAAAATCATAATTTTTACTTCCGTTTTCTCAAAACATTCTTTTCCTCATGTTTTTCAATTCACTTGAAATAAAAGAAATCAAAGAAAGTAATGCATCTCTTTCAGTAATTTCACTTCCTTCTTCATCAAAGAATTTTCTCCTTTCATTTTCCTTTTTATCAATGAAGAGAAACCAATGTAATTTTCCGGAATTGAATTTTTCCGAGATTCATCATTCAATTTGCCATTTTCTCTTTTTATTATTTCATCTAATCTAGAAAAGAAAAGAAAACAGGGAATTCCGGATTGCGGCTCTGAAACCGTGAGACTTTTTCTCCCTTGTGGAATAACGTCTCTGGGTTATTCGCACGTCCCAAGGAATTCCCCCGGTGCGTTTTCACAGTGACGTGAACGTCGCGCAGCTCGACCTCTTTCACTTTGAATTTCCCTTGAGAATGAACAAAAAAACATGAGAATAAAACACTATTGAAAGAATCACAATATTTTTCCCCTAGCCGACTCGTTTGGGAGAAGGAAAATAAATGAAATTAAATGGAATTGAAAAAGAGAAATATTTTCCTCTTTCGTGAAGAGATATTTACGCAAAAATAGAATATTCAAAGTCGTTGTTTTTGACACGTAGACCACTCACACGTTACTCCTACTACAAGAGTTTATTTGTGTATATGGTGGAGTACAAGAACTCCATGGGAAATACGATACATTTATTTCACTGTGTGTGAATATCATTTCTTAAGTTCTCTTTTTTTCCAAACAACTTTTATCGCTTATCGAGGTCGATTAAGAGATACGGATCAAGTGCATGTCACTGGTACATTATGTTGGCTTTTACTTTTCGTACATTTCGAATTGAACACTTGTGGATTTTTTAAAATCAAAATCAAACAGTCTGCGAGCGTTCAAACGTGAAACAGAATGAATATGAGAAAAAAATATGTTCTTATTTGCAGAAAATTTTTTTAATGCTTTTTATATTGTTTTTACGGACAACTATTTTATTTCTGGAGCAAAGTGGGACACAACAGAATATTAATCCAGAATATTTCGATAGACGAATGCCTTCTGACGTTTCCCTTCAAATCCGTTCGCGTTCTATTTTACCTGTAACGTAATGTCAAAGACTAATGGGTCTGAAAAGTATGTTATCTCATTTGTTTACGGATTTAAAGGGAAATGTTAAGAAAATTTTCCGTGGAGCGTAAGCTTTTCTTCAGAAAAATTATCCAAACCCATTTGTTCTCTAAATTTGCAGAATATTTAGACTTGGAGAGAAAATCAGGACACATTTCCCATCAATACGGAGACAAGCTTTTCAGACCTTTTCTGAAATACACAAAATCGACAGATTATTCGCAAAATAACGTTTACATGAAAAAATTTAACGCAAAATCGAGATAAATTATTTTGTGAATTTCTCTGGGATTAATGAACTTCATAATCTTCTTTTCGTGCATAAAATTTCCTGTGGCAAAGGTCTTTTGACATTCTTGAAACTTATTTTTCTCAAAGATTTCAATGGTAATTATCTCCAATTAGGTGCCATACCCCCAATTTATTAGCAATTTCGGTGATTTCACAAAAATTTTCTGAAAGGTTGATCACCATAAGCCTCTTATAATCCTTTGCATTCCATTTCAGGTGTCTCTGGAATTACATTAGAGAATTTTTAAAGTGTTGCCAAGTGAAGACGAAATGCGGAGGATGAAGCGAAGAAGAGGTGACGAACGCTTCAGTGGATTAATCCAGAGTCTTGTGTGCTAAAATGAGATTGTGACTGAAGAAACAAAATTCGATACTTCAAGATTTAATCAAGAAAAATATATGAAAAAATTAAATCGAGAAAATAAATCATAAAAATAATAAAAAACTAAGAAAAAGATTAAAAGTGCAGTGAACATCAACGAGTTCTTGTGAGTTCTTGTGTATCGAAATAGAAATAAACTCGATTTTTCCTGTTGACTTTAATAAGCAGAAAATTAACTCTCAGAAGGATACAGACAGGTAAGAGATAAATGTTATTTTCCACCATTATTTTTCGTTTTTACTGGGTATTCTTCCTCGTTTTAACATCTTTTTTTTATCCATGTTCATTCTGGAAGACATTGCTTAGCATAATCAAGTTTACGGAGAACCATCGTCTGGGGATTTGCATTTGCGCGGGTTAAGAGGGAGTTGAGGTGGTTCATTCGTGTCATGAAAGACGATGATAATGACGTTAAAGTTGGTACGCATCGGTCTCCGCTTCGGGTATCTACGGTCATGAATAGATATGCCACTGTGTACGTGAAGTTTCAAAATGATAAATCACATGGAAGGTTATCGCTGTCAGTCTCTTTGTTTTTTATTCATTCAAAAATTTTTTTCTCATATTTTCAAAAATTATTAATGAAGGGATTCAACGAATGCCTCCAATTTTGGAATTGACTCTGTTGACTTTTGTTGGTTTGATAAAAATAAAAAATTATTTGTGGGACCAAATATTTTTTAAAATGATTTCTTCAGTTTTTTCAACATTAAAAACCAATAAAAAGTATGAAATTATTTTTTTTTAGACTTGACGTCAGTAAAACCAATACTTGGCCTTATCACTCTCATTTATAATACACGAAGCGAAGACACAAGACAACAATTCCATACTTCACTGTGTTTTTATTATTGCTAGTGGTGCACTTGTAGATTATGTCAGTTGGTACATAAAAATACTAAAATTTATATTCCTTTCCTGGTTCTGTAATATATCATTCCGTCAATCGTTGAATCTGAGCCGTAAAAAAAATTCTGTCAACCTGTCAACTCGATTTATATCGATCACAAATTGATATCTACCTGGTTAATCGCGATTAATAACTGACAAGACCCTCGGTAACTTTGATGGATGGAGGAGGGGTAATACTCGATATGCTGTCGTATTTGACATTTACAAATTCTAGTTCTTTGTGATACTATTTTTTTATTTTTATTTTTGATTCCATATGTATACCCCTCTCGGGTTTTTACACATTTTGTTCCCTTCCCTATCTGCGTTACCATGGGCCGACTTACTTTATCCCCAACTGCACCCCATTCGGGATTGGACTGCCAGGGAAACCATGGAAAACCTCAGTCGTGCAGCCGGCCGATAATGCAGGGGATTCCACTGTGTCCATTGGTCACACTGACTCAATGGGCACAGTGGTTCTCTACACATTCGTGCCTAGCGACTGTAGTCCCACGCGGTAAGGTGTGCCTAAGCGGACACCATCCAAGTACTGGGCAGACTGAACGCTGCTTAGCCTGGATGTCTGCTGGAGCCACACACTCCCCGCGTGACCACTACAGCCACTTCTTTGTGATACTAATTATAACGAGTCATTAATGAGGAATAATCGCCTTTAAATCGGAAATATCGTATCTAAAACAAATATTTCACTCCGAAATTTCAAAGGCATAAAATAGTACATTAGAGTACAAGGGCACAAATTTCGTTTTCAACGAATGTGTAGTTTACAGGCCGAGCCGAAGGCGAGGTCTGTACACATATTCGTTGAAAACGAAATTTATTACCGAGTGCTCTATAATATTTTATGTCAAGTCGTGCAGAAGTCGAGTTTTGAGCAAGCTGCGCGAAGCGCAGCGTACGATAAACTCGACTTATTGCACGGCGCGACATAAAATATTGAATAAAAAACGAAAGGCTTTTTTAAAAGTAAATTGTTTCAAAAAGTTCATTGAATATAAAAATAGATTTTTCGCATTTATAAAAGGAACAACATGTTTTTTCAAATTGAAAATCTACTTGATAAATTAGAACACCTGTGGATCTAATAGCTCCGTTCAGAATATCCCTGTGTTTCAAAATTGAGATCACACGTATCAGAACAAAGGAAGTCCCCTTATCTTTAGCATTCCTCGACCATGTGGTTGTCTACACACATTAATTTTTGCAACGAGGAAAATATGCTGACGCGGTGAACACCCCGCGTGCCAATGTACAAATCCGTCTTTCTCTCCTTGTTAGTTGATCCATAAAATGTAGCCAAACAATATCGAGAGATAAAATCAGACGATAATTCATTGTGCTTCTAGGTCGATTCCTCATTATTTCTCGTGAGGGGTTGGATGAGATAATGCGAAGTCTGGAGAGATTATCAGGCAGTGATCAGGACTGTGGAGATCAGGAAATGTACATCGATCTGGATGATGCTTCGGTCGATTCAATCACTGGGAAAAGAGGGCGACATCATGTTGCCGAGGTAAACAGACGAATTGACTTAACCATTGAAACAAATCCGAAAAGAAAAAAGCGAAAAAGTGAAATCAAAAATCGAAATAATGAACGAAAGCAGTGGTTAATTGGTAGAATTAAATATGTAAATTTTACTTGAAGACTATTTTTTGAAATGTATCTCAGAATCCAATGAAAATAGTCCGGTTTTTGTGAAAATTTATCTTGTAACTTTTATTGAGCTCTACAAAAAAATCTACTGAAGAAACAAGTTCTTAGTTTTCAGGAAAATCTGCGAATTAAAAAATTCTATCATAGTGAAATCTAGTGAGCGAAAAATTCTGAAAGTAGGCAAACTTTTCACCTATTTTAAGAAAATTTTCCCTAAAAATCAGAAAGAAAGTTCTGAATCTTAGTATATTTTACTCAAATCTAATGTAATTGTACTTGAATTAAGGGGAATTTTCCTCTATTGCAACAAAACCTCGGTTCTGGAATTCAGAACTTGTGGGTTTTTTTTTGTTTATTATTAAAAACGTATGGGTTGTTCAAAATATATCATCTGACATCTTGAGTCAATTAGATTGAATCAATAGTTAATCATTCGAAAATTTCATCCCTTTCCAATGTTCATAGTTTAAGAATGCAAAGATACTGAATTCAAGAACCCAACGGTGCATAATTTGAGAACTTTTGTCATTTCAAATAAATACGTGTTTGGTAGTAAATTTCAGGAATTTTCATTTTCACACCAGTTGACCAGTTTCTTATTCTCATGACAATACCTTCTAGAGCCATGGGTTTCTTGAAATTAGTGAATTGATGCTGGTATATAGAAACTTTTTTTGTCTAGATTACTACTGGAATTTCCCTATTTACTTTCGATTCAAAGATATTCACGCCAAAAACTGTCCATTGTGATTTATTCTGTTTCACCACTTTGCTAGCGGATTTTTTATGTTACTATCTCAGAGGAAAGAAATAAACGGCACAATATTAAGGGCCTTTGGTATTATTTCTTAAGATTGTTCTTTCCTTGATTATGAAATGGAACCCGCAATTTGATGTGAGCGAAATGCTTAATTAACTGTCGAATCATCTAGATATCAAGCAATGTTACGAAAAAATGTCAACAGACATTCTTTAATGTCTCCCTGACCTGATTATTGAACGAGAATCGTAATTTGATATCAAGAACTTCATAATTGTTCAATTATAAAATTATCTTAGCAATGAGCAATGTGAATAGAAAAAATATAAAATGACCTCCTTTGTACCTTATGAGATAATTATCTTCAAAAAATGTTTCATAACATTTTCCTCTAAAATTGTTAATAAGTCATTAAGCGACCCAAAACGCGCACTAATTTGATGATAATCTCATAATTACTCACGCTGTGAATTGTTGGACGATCTCAGTAATGACTGATGGTATGAAAAATATTAAACGTCTATTAATAGCCCAGAAAACTGCCAACAAAAAATACCTTACGATAATTTTCCCTAACATCAATCATTCCCACCACAATCCAACAATTGACAATCTGAATTATGGAAATTAAACTCGTTCTATTACTTCTCCCCTGGAAATCAATGTTAAAATATTCAACTGACAGAAAAATTATTGAAATAATCAGGTGGGCGAGGAAAGTGACAGCAGTGGAAGCGAACGTAGTCCAAAGCAAGCGAAACGTCGAAGTCGCGGTGGTCCACCGACGACGCGAAGACGAAAAAGTGGAATTTCAGCGAGAGAGAGAAACCTGAGGAGGCTAGAGAGTAATGAGCGAGAACGAATGAGAATGCACTCCTTAAATGACGCATTCGAGGTAAGACATTTGTCCCCCATTGAAACTTCTAAACCAATTACAGAGTAATTCTAAAAATACCCAATACGAAAAACGAAGAAACACCAAACCACAAAAAAATTGAAACAAATCTCTTGAAACGTCCTTGACAATTTTCTCCTCTTTCTCTCACTTTTTACCCGCCGGGCTTGTATTGTCTGAATAAAATACGAGACGAGAAGACAGGAGGAGAGGCTCAGGCACACCTGACATGGGTAATTACCTCTCGGGGTTAACGTGCCAACTACAACATTCTATCTATTTCACTCTATTCTCTATTATCGATGATCTCTTGAGATAGTTGACCGATCACGCTTTTTAAATCGAAAACACGACGAGGATCTGCGTCATGAAATAATTAATCATCACCAATAGAAATGACAAAAAAAACAGGGATTAATTGACGAACAAATTTCTTTGATTTATTTTACCCAGAACAATGCGAAATATATTTGAATTCTCCTGTTACTGGCACTCAAAAGAGAGTTAAAAAACTTATGGTCTAAAGAAATTGATACTTTTTCCACACAATTTATTGACAGACAAAAACTGTTTCAAAGAGATTTAAAATTACAGAAAAATGAGACATGAAACATTATATTAGATTGTCGCGATAATGAAAAACATACAGAGAGTTGATGATTTGCACTCATGAATTATTTTCAAAATATATTAATAGAGATTCTGATGGATTGGGTTGGTCTTAGCTGCAAGTCAAAGACCGGACATAGAAAATGAGAGGGTGTGCCAATGATTAACGCTACTGTGACTAACCACAAATTTGTTGCAATCAAAGTATTTTCAATTATCAGATGTGATTTACTTTTACTTTCAAATGAAATATAGGAAGCACCTCTTGTAAAATTTTTTATTTTTAAAGATCTCCTAAATTTTTCATTTTTAAAGATAAAAAAACTGGTCAAGGAAGGTAGAAAAAAAAAGGTTGTTTGCAACATTGTGAAAATTAATGAATCCTCTAATTTACAGCAATTGAGAGAGGTAATACCCCACGTGAAGATGGAAAGGAAGCTGAGTAAAATCGAAACACTTACGCTTGCCAAGAATTACATAATGGCGCTTACAAACGTCATATGCGAGATGCGAGGGGAGGAACAACCATACACGTGAGTTGAATACCTAATCAACAAATATATTAGTGCCTTTCAATCTCTCCCGGTGATTAAAACCCCACATTTTTATCCTCAATTTAAAATACGCAAATTTCACCCGACGGCGCTGGTTTCATCACTATGATAATTTCTCCACTCCAGTCGTGTATGTTTCCCCCATTCTGTTGTTTTAGTTCGTTTTTTTTTATGGTCCCGTTATTTCAACATATTTAACGAAGCGGGTGCAGGTGGCCGGTGCGAATGCCAATCACGTAGCTAGGAGCATCCAGAGGTTTTGAATAAGTTTTTCAAAACCCCATTTAAATTAAACGATTCGACGGAGAAGGTGGATGAATTCAGGATAGGCAAATGGTGAAGAATATAAGTTCATGAATTATAATGACATAATTTTGTAACGATTTTGAAAACTTTAAGTGTCAGGAAAATTATTCGCATACAAAAAAACTTGATAGAAAAAGTTGACTTATTTATTAGAAAATCCAATTCGATTTATATTGCACTTTTACTGGAAATTCTATGATTCATTTGCAATGAAAATATTATTCGATGGAAACTCTGCAATAGGAAAAACTATAGAATGTTATCTTCGTTGAACTTATTGCCACCTCCTTCCTAAATTTGATTTACCGGCTGGAAAATAATAATAAGTTGAAAGCAAGAAAATGATAACAGTTTGAAAGATTATGAAAAAACACGTGTCATATCTCAGAGAGAATTTTTTATTCGGGGGAACCAAAAATTCGCTAACAAAGGGAAATCCCCGCGTTGCTGATAACATCGCAATGTTTTGTAATACTTTCTACATTCAGCGATCAGCGAAATTCATGCTAGAAAATCTTTTCAGTAACGAACCAAAAACAAATCTCGAATTACCCTTGAATGCAGTTATAAAAACTCGCGGTATAACCGTACATAACTGGAACCGTTTTAGTGCGTTGATAAATTGTGATATCGATTTATCGACGAACAACACCGATAGAATTCGAAAACATGTTGCAATTATTCAGACGATGTAACAAAACTCATTTAGTTTAAAAATCAATCTACTTATCACTTGCTATTACTCCTGCCTCCTGTTCATTCCCCCATTCATGTTACTTTATTTGAAGATAAAATGGTAGCCTGAAATTTCTAAAATCACTTAAAAAGTATTTCCTTTCATTAAAAACAGATTTGTCGATGGAGAGTGTGGCTCAAGCAGTGGTGACAGTACAGGTCAGCACGAATTGAGCGGTGGTGAACAGGCTGAAGAAGCATCCCCCGCGTCTCATCATGAGGCAAATAACAACAGTCTGCTACACGAGGATCTCGAGCGCAGGATACCTTAGTTATATTTTTAATTTGTCTTTTTTTTAAATCAAAAAGAGGGAAAAATGATGGGAAAAAGGTAATGAGAGAGAGGAGCAATAAATTAAACCTCAACGATTCGGAACTCCATTAAATGTACTCTCGTTTCGAGAGTAAAAACAAAGGTGGCTGGAATGGGGTTTGGGGAGGGAGGTACATGGAGAATGCCGTTACGTGACACACAGGATCCGACGAATTTTATCGAGGACACACGACGCAATTAAGGACCGCGCCTTGAGGCTCTTAACGATCACTTCTACCTTGTGATTCTGTTGAGACTAACGAGTGTGATCCCCTGCGTGAGAAACTGCGTAATTGTTTCATGATGGTTATTACCATTGCTTTTTGTAAACACAATTCTGTGATGAAGTTGAGAGAGAAATGAGTGAATGTAATCAGATTTTTCTTTCTTTTCATTGCTTATTTCATGGGGTTTTTTGCGAGTAATCACACGACAAACTTTATTTATTTCACTTGATTTCTCTCTTTGGTTTTATTGAAGAAATTATGAAGGAAGCGAAATGGCGAGACACCAATTGGCATTCGAGGGGAGTATGGCCTCAACCGCGCTACTGTGATAGAATAATTTTTTTTCGTATTAGTTTTCCATCGATTTGAATTCAGGGGCGAAGTGATAAAGTGAGTTGAGTTTATGTAATAATTCCACAATTGATCAAAAACTTCAATTGATGGTTCAAATAAGGGGATATGTCAGGAGAGAAACCTGTTATCGAAAGAACCAGTTCCATAATAAATAATACGTGTCTTGATATCTCTCCTAGAATTATTAATTTCAAAAACAATCACGGGTCTGATCCTTCTCCAGTAATTTACTGCCAATTGAATAATTCATTTTGTTAACTATTGCAGTATTTTGCTAATGAGTGACTTCGGAAAAAATTCGAAAGGAACTCCTTTGTAGGCAATTTTTTTTGTTGAAAAAAAATGTTAGGATTATTCGTTATCAAGATAATCAGGCAATTAAGAATAAAATACTTATTTTCTTGACTCGACTCGTTTTACCACTTGATTCCTAAATCATTCGCCACTTATTCGTGTGAATCTCGCCTTTGTGTTTCTGTTGAAATTCATTAGATAGGATTCAAATAAAAAATAATGTTCATGATCTACGTGGGAAAGTTTGTTCGTGCCTTGATGTTAAACGTCTGATACGTATGTGTTTAATGTGTTAAATGTTGTTCTGAGATGTCGTTGATGATCTTAGGCAGCTAATGCTATGCAAAAAATCGGTCTGGAATCGTTTTTCTCTTGTTATTCAGTACGAAACTCGACTACGCGTCGTACTGAGTAATACAAATAAGCATTTAAAGATTTATAACAATGATGTAACTGCTTAGGTTGAATTGCTCCACTTTATTCTTCTCAATTGAGTAGATTAATGATTTATCTTGTGTTTTTTTTTCTGTGAAAATCCGATATTTCTGAGTTGATATTAGGAGGAAGTTACGTCTGAGTCTGAATTAAATTTTCACTTCATAATGTTGTATCATTTTTTGTGTTTTTTATGGTCTAAGACATTCCAAAGGATCGTGGACTGCGTCTCACGGATTTCTAATGATTTTCTCTTTTTTTGTAAAGATGGTTGTGATTTTACTTAGAATTGATAGGGAAATTCGAATTGATGAGTGAGGATTGATTGTTATTTTTTAATTTATGATCGAGTGAGACGCAAACGTCCTCATTTCCGTCCTTAAATACGAGAGGTTAAATAACATCATTTGTTCATGTTCATTAGTGTCTTAGAGAAATTTGATGGTTCATTATTAACTGTGCTTCCAACTTATGAAAATGTCATTGTTTTAATTGTTAAGGGAAATTCATCGTCGTTAAGTTGTGCTGAATAATTATACTGAGAAAAATTTTATTAAGGAGAATTATTGTATCAAAGATTTTATTGAGGTAATTGGATATTTTTCATAATGAAAAATTTATTTTTTCCCTTTAAAAAAAAGTTTTATCATCGTTCATGCGTTTTCTCAATGTATCTTCAATTTACGCAATTGAATTCTAATAATTCCTCAGTGAAGTGACACAAAGAAGCGACTCAAAAGATTCTGTAGGGAGTAATTGTAAATAGCTCAGGAAGTAGTGGATTTAAAGGAGAACATGAAATGAAATTTTTTGTGATCACAGAATTTCCTCCGAAGAAAGTCTTTTGACGAATTTTTCTAAATCTCTCATTCTCAAAGATATTTACTAATTTTTTTGACAGTTTATTTTTCTGCAAGCATGTCTCCTCATGAATTTCTGTGAAATCTTCCCATCAACGATACTTACGAAATAATTTACAATTGCAATTTTTTATACTTTGGATCGGCTTATTTTCAATACAACCACTTCACTACTAGAATGACTTAACTGAAAAAAATGAAGAGAACCATTTTAATAAGCTGTACATGTAGTTCAAGAGTTGAGAAGAATTCACCGTTTATATAATGCATATACACGAAAATCGTCTATTATACATATATATTTTATTATTCTAAGTTTTATAAGTGACCATATTATATTATTAATCAATTCTTCCATCGATGAATTCAGGGATATGATTTCATTATATTGGAAAATTGATAATTGCATATGTGAATAGGGGAGGGGCACATCCATTGGATTCTAATTCTGAATATATAAAAAAATGCAGTTTTCGAAAAATAAATATTCATGCCAATCCCCTGGTATATGTACTTCGTATATTTATGATGAAATAGGTAAACACGAGTGATAAATACCTATGAGCGTGTGGTAACATGAAAATTGTATATATTTTTTGAAAAAAAATTATAATATAAAGCGAGAAATTATAATATATAACGTTTCACACGCTTAAAACATGAATTTTCATATTTATTATTTCCATTATTTCCTAGCTTTTCATTTTTGCTTTCATCCAAAATCTGAAGCAACAACAGCTCGGTAACAGCTCACACTGTGGAAATGTGTGCAATTCATGAAGGTACATCAAGAGTGATATCAATAGGATGAAAAATATGAAATACTATCAAAAAATTTGTCTATATTTATCATTAAAAAATCCTTCAAATTCAAGCGCAAGTCTTGAACTTTCAGATTTTATCCAAAAATTATCAACTCAAGTTTAGTATTCTTCATGGAGGGCTGAATAGTTATCTCGAATTATTTCGAAAATATAAAATTTCTCTGTCATTTCCATTTTTTTCAACTACAGAATTATGCGAGAATATGCGGAATCTTTATTTTTTAGGTGACCTAACGGAATGCGAATACACTATCACAAGATTGCGAGGGCAGTTGCGTTTTAATCAAGAAATTAGCGTATTAATGTAATGAAACCCCGCAAATTCAGGCATGTTTTGACTTTTGAAGACCCTCCATTAAACGTCCGTTAGTCATGCTTCGTCGCATAGCCGAAAATTGTATAAGAATCGACGGGAAAAATCTGAAAAAATTCAACAATCAGCTTCAGATGATTATTGAATGAACTCCGCACGAATTTTGAATGTAACTATTATCGATAAATATTTATTCCGGTTCAAAGATGAGTAGTTTTTTCGAAAATTCAGAGCCCTGCTGTCCTCTAACATTGGGCGATTCATGGAATCTCAACAAACAAATTGCTATATTCCATTAGAAAAAAAAATTAATCGAAATTTTGTTTCTTAAGGCTTCCATACATTTGAAGATGTCAATTTTTTAAATATTTTTATTGGGCCTCAAAACAATGTTATTGATAAAATTATAGAAAGCGCGAGTCAAAACATTGTGTAGGGAATAAATTGTAAATAGCTCAGGGAGCAATGGAGTGTTAAAATCCAAGTATCAGTTAAAATTTTTTCTAATCAAATAACTTATTTTCCTTCTCTTCTGATTTCTAGAATTTATTCACAGTCACGTAGAGGAATAATTCACGATGACATGAATAATCTCTACGGCTGATCATTTCTGTATCATGTCAGTATTGGATGAATTTTCCCGTATTAATGATATATTTTCTAAACAGTGGTAACTCAAAAACCGAACTATCAGACTTGAACATACAGACAGTTTCTAGAAACATCATTTCTTGACGTTTCATAACATTCTGCATAATTTCCAGGCAAAATTGGAGAATATTAAAATCCAACGAATATGTAGGTAAAGAGGACAGGTGAGAAGCGTAAAATCGAGCACATTTTTGTATTGTAAATTGAATACAAAAGTATCTCTTGAATTTTTTTTTCCAATCTACTGATTTCCCAGATTCTGACAAAAAAGTGACGAAAATTAAGTATTTGAACTGACTTTGTGATGATCCCATGGCATTTGAGATGAGGGTTAATGAATTGAAATCAAATTTTTATATTCTTAACTTACCTGGCTTCGCAACATCACTCTAAAAAGCGAAAAAAAAATAGGTCCTCTTGACAAAAATTAATTTTTTATGTTTTAAATTATTATATGATACATCTGTACATGACACAAGAGTCACAAGGAGCATTAGAAGGGGTACTATACAAATGTTTTACAACTAGGGAATAGCAACCCAACGGCTCAATATAAATTCGTAGATTCGAATGAAAATAGAGAAAATCTGGCACGAGGTACTACACAGTAAAAAATCCGGTGCGGACTTCCTGGGACACCGATTGGTGTTGAATTAACATCAGATTTTACATGCGATGTCTTATGGTGCGGTGTAATTTTAACACCGCAACTCCACTCCAAAAACGGTGTGGACACATTGAGACACCGATTGGTGTCAATTGAACACACATTTTTTTTAAGTGTAACAAATTATAAAAATTGTATAAGAAAGAGAAAAGGAATAGAAGACGACACCAGGAATAAGTAAATATGACGCAGAGTAGATCAATGGAATTCAAACAGAATTTAATTCATGGAACTCCCAACAAACTTTGAGAGATTAATAAAACTTACCCCTCACCTCTTCTCCAACTGAATGATTAATGAAGAAACCACAACAAATCAAAGGTGTTGATCAAAAGTCGACTGGAACATATAATTTGAACACACATTTAGTCTCACTTCAAGTTTTATCACCCATTGAACATAACATTTGAGGTCTTCAATCTTTCACAACAATTATTAACAACCAATTGATAAATAAGAACAAAACAATCGACACGCAATTCAAGACATCTCATCTATATGCTGACCACTTCAACTTTTAAGTCACGAATTATCAATTAAAAACGTATTATCAAGTTCTTCAAAAACAGTTTTCAAATGCAATCTTAGACAGTTATCAATGCTTCTCGATAATTTGAGCGTGTGCAATTCAAAAGAATGAAAATCCACTCATTCGAGTTATATGGATTCTATGTTATTCTTGAATTAGGGAGTTCTTCGGCCAATTCACAAACTAATGGCGTCAGGGGGCCATCCACTTTTCAACTGATCTTGGATCACGTAAGGATAGCATGCATCTGACCATCTTTGTTTAATGCTTTTAAGAAATAGAGTGAGTGGCGCTCTGCTGTTATCTGTTTCAGGTTTGCAACAACTCTCTAATTGTGCGTACTTTAATTATACATATCAAATGGCATACAATAAGTTGACCATTCACAAGTTTCAATTGGACAAGCACAATTTGGTTGGTGTACATTACAATTTAGAATAATTCAATATGTACATCGCATAATTGGAATGGGATTGCAATTTCTGTAGAGAAGGTCGTAAGGTAAAATACTACAAGCATAATAGGGGAGATAATAGGGGAGAGTGGGGCAAACTGAAACAGTCGAGAATAGACTGTTTAACGCAATTTAAGCAAAAAAAATTTTTATATCAAATTTTTTAAAATTAATTTTTGTTTATCGAAATTTTTTTATAATTGGGAGTACTGATTAGAATAATAATTTTCCATTCAGTAGAATGGAGAATTATTGAGATGTTTTGACGGGAGAAGACTTTGTCAATGAATTAATTGAAAAGAAAATAAAACAACAAAATCCACAGTCCAGAGGAAGGCCCAGGGGGAGACCCAGATTGGGAAAAAGGGAAATATGATACTGAATTTCAATCGAATTATAAGACGAATAAAAGATTAATGTTCTCATCTGTACTCTCAATAATAAACACTAGTTAATAAAAACAATTTTTCTGCTTGAATTGCGTCAAATAGCCGTTTTACGGCTGTTTCATTTTGCTCCACCCTTCCCTAGATATATATTTTGTCTGTTTTAGATACATTTTGTCAACAAAATGCAGTTGTCAATGTTAACGTACGCCCCATCCCCATCCAAAAGTTTCCATTCTCCCGCCACATACAGGGACTGACTCTCAGTCGATAAAATGGCACGCTCTAATTATCTGCTCTCGTGAAACAGCAGTGAGAATCCCCTCTAGCCCCTCCAACAAATTCAAAACACACCAGACAGCATATCTCTGTGATCTCCCGGACTACTTCCAACGTGCACCGGCACGCATAATTCGACATTGAGCTTCACCATAATGTAAATAATTTCACTAACACAATAAAACATCGATAACCACCATAAAATCCGTAAGTACATTGACATTTCAACGCGTCTAACTCTCCTCTGTTTTCACAAAACACCTCTTAACCTTGAATACCACTTCACTTTATTCACAAAGGAGCAAAACAGAGCACAAAAAATGTCTATGACGAGTGACGAACGGACGAGACATAGGAAACGAGCGACCGACTCGTACCTCGTTCAAACAAAGAGATTATTCAAGTCCTCAAGGACCATTGATGACTCTAAGAAGATGATTGAGTTCTTGGAGCTCAAAGAGGAGTTATCCCTTGCGAATAACAACTTGACGTATCTCAGGGACGATATCTGGACATATCTAGGGAACTTGAGGGTTCTCAACCTCTCCGACAACTTTCTGTCCACTCTTCCAAGTGTCATATCACTCTTAATTCACCTGGAAGACCTCGACCTGTCTAAAAATCGATTATCGACGACTCCAGATGTGATTTTGACCTTCAGATCTCTCAAGAAACTATCCCTCAGGGACAATTTGTTGACCGAACTCCCTGATCTTGAGGTTTTAGAGCATTTAGAGCAGCTGGACGTCTCAAAAAACAGTCTAGTCTCCCTTCCAGCCTCCTTAGCTTCCCTGACTCGATTGAAACAGCTAGATCTGTCATTTAATCACTTCAGGGCACTTCCAATTTGTGTTCAACAAGGTCTAAGTAATCTGGAGTACCTTGACGTCTCTGGGAACATCAGACTCAGTCTCAATACTCCAGTAAAGAGTCACAAACTCAAGTGGTTCTTTGCTAAGGAAATTGCCTTCTGCCCTGCCTTCCCAAAATGGATCTTGTCAGGACAATTTTCAGGATTTGAGGAACTTAACTTTAATAAAAGTAAGTTCGATAGATTCATGCTGCCGCAGGTCAGTCAAAAAACAATGATCAGAAAGCTGAGCCTTCAGAGTTGCTCTTTGTCTGGTTTTAATCTACAAAGAATTCTGGCTAATGTTATTGGACTGAGGATTCTGGAGATTGGGAATGATAACTGCAGGAGTCTACATAAACTGTGCAATGTGTTCAATCAATGTCCCTTGAAGCACGTGAGGAATCCTGTGGAGCTGGAGGAACTGGAGATGAGGAACCTAGATCTGCCTTTCGTGCCCAAGGGAATTGGGAAGTTCAAGGGGTTGAAGAGGATTGATCTGGGAGGAAATGATCTCTCGTGGCTGTCTAAGGAGTTTTGTGGCTTGGATAAACTGGAGACTTTAATTGTTGATAGGAATTCCCTGGTGGAATTTCCACAGGACATTGGGAAGTTGAGGAACCTGAAGGAGCTGAGGGCTTCCGAGAATCATCTGGGGAGTCTTCCTGGGAGTTTTGGAGAGTTAAAGAGTTTGGAGATTTTGGATCTTTATGATAATAATTTTTCGGAGCTACCACCGGCGCTGGGGGAGTGTGTGGCACTCAAGGAACTGGATTTTGAGAGGAATTATGCTGATACTGAAAACTTTGTGGTGAGACGCTTGTTAGATAATTTTTTAAATTCAATTTTCAAGATTGCGACTTTCAATTGCATTCGATTCCAACGAATTGTTAATGATTTTCGGATGTCCAAGGATGTTTATCCTAAACCACAAAACTCAAAGAAAAATTCTTTTTCAAAAAAATTAGCTTCACCAACCGAAGACGATTGTTTGGAAGTAAAAAATACAAAAGTCATTGTTTTGTTATTTTAAATACTTCTTTAGATTTTTCTTTGGTCATTCACCCTAGTCTTTTTTTCACATTACTGCTGCATAAAACTACATAAAACTGATTTCAACTTTAATTTTTAAATTTCGAATTCTTAACTGGAATTATTGACTTTATCGATCAGTCGCCTGTTGACAACTTCAATAATAATAAATAAAATCTAAATTGGTCTGAGTAAATGGAATAAATGAAATGTCTGTAGCTTTAATATTCCCGTTTATCTGACGTGAAAATATAGAGAAATCCAATCAAAGTTCACATTTTAAGTTAAACAGACAAGAATTTCATGCTTCACCAAATAATCTTTTACGCTGAGATTTGAAAAATTCCAATTGTGCATGGATTATGGCTTACTCCCAGGTTATTTGATTGGAATAAAAAGTATATGAGCAAGAATTGTGTTCAGGTGAACAACATTCCCTGCGAGATTCTAAGAGGACATTTGAGAGATAAAGTGAACGGTGACAGACTCGATGGACCCAAAAAAGAGATTACAGTGAGTTCACCAGAGAGTTGTCAATCTGGATATGAGTCAGAGAATTCTTATGGTACATCGAGGTGAGTATCATTTATTTCTGACTTTTCATCTCATTGATTTATTCGAGGAGCCAATAGATTTAATGCCATAAATTTATTATGAAAATTTTCTACATACTATTTTGAGAATATCTCTAAAGATAGTAGATTCACCAAAATATCTCCAGAGATTTTTTTGTAGTTCACAAAATTTTCTACAAAAAAAAACATTTCTCAATTATTCTTTTTGATTTTGTTCTTTGGAAAATATTGATTGAATAACTTTATATTATTTATTGAGTAGTCTCCTAACAGATGCGTTCCGGACTGATTCCTTCAATTTAATTATTCATTTAGGAACGTATCCAACACTTCGTTTGTCCAGCAAAATTGGGATGAGTCAGAAGACTCCAGCGAAGAGTTCGACCCATACAACCCACAGCCTCCAAGAGTGAAAACGACATTTGTATATCTAAGTCATAAGAAGTTTATGTTTTGCCCAAACGACATTCATCCGCCCTCGATGAGGGAACGTATTCTCCTCGCAAGAGCCAATGGAGACTATCAACCTCTTTCACCCCCTGTGGAGGGTCAATTCGATGATGCATAACGTAAAATGATTAATCGTGTTACTTCAGTATTGAAGTGGTGGAACGTAAAAAGTCGATTTTAGTCATCTTGATTCATCTCTCCTTTATCTAATTTAACAATGTCATAATTATGCCAGGCTGTATATTATTCACTGATGGAGGTTGATTATGCGTTCGTAAACATAGCACTTGAAAATTTTTTTACAATGGTTTTTCTATCAAACGGCAGAGACTCGGGTGCGATCTACCATTATTTCGATAATGAGTGGGTTCAGGGAGGAGTATCAAGAGATGTGATGTGTAGATGTAAATATTTTCAGTCATACGTGTATCCTGAAAATTTCCCCGGTGGTGAAGACATATACCACCATTTCATCAATGTTTACGTACGAAAAACCTTCATAAAAAATCCGAATGTATTCGCCAGAAAATTTTATTAGATTTCTAAAAGACTTTTTTGGAAGCTATTAGTTTTTCGTTGATTCAGTTTGACAAATCTGCAGGTTTTTTTGCACATTTTGTGTTCAATGGAAAATGTCAGAGAGAAACTATTTCATAGTAACAATTAGAAAAATTTTCTTCCCCTCAGCCACCTATTCTATTGGGTTTTTTCATAGAAATGCCTTGGCGTCAATTTCATAAATATTTTTGTTTAAATTTTTTAATGGGAGAAGGAGAAAAATCGCAAATTAGCTACCCACTAGCCTGGAGACTGAACAGCAGCCACGAAAAAATGGGAATATGATATACTATATTTTGATAGTCTCAAGCTATTTTTCTGCGCGCACATATGGAAAAATGTAATAAAAAAACCTTGCGCTTTCTCTATGGAATCCTATTGAATTTCTATTGTAACTCTGTAAATTTCGATTGGAGTTGTGTTATCTATTTTTTGCACCAATTTTTATGAAAGGTTTTTACAAGTTTTTTTATAGATGGGCGTGTCAAATTTTTGTTTTGCGAAATAAACGTGTTTCAATTCTTTCAATTAGACAGGATTGTACTTAGTGTGATTAATCAAACCAAAAGACAGACAGACGTTAGGGTGAAGTGAACAACATGTGATATTAACTTTATGCAATATTGCTTCCAGGGTGTTACTTTGCTTTTATATCGAACCTATGAAATGTTGAATGCGCAGTAAATAGACGATTATAATAATAATATATGATAGAAAAAAACATGATATCTTCAGTTTTTTCTATATAAATTTTTGGTGATGAATTTTACAAGTTTTTTCCTGTGTTGTTTTATGTTTGTCATAATAAAATCTAAGCAAAAAAACTTGGAAAATTCCTGCGGTAGAATTCTTTTTAAAAAATGTCAACAGAACAAGTTTTATAAAATTATCAGTATCTATAGACGTCTGTTCTATCGAAAAATTCCCACTGAAAGAAGCGTGGCAAAGTTGTATAATGTTTTTGTAGAGTTGAAAAATTCTCGTAGAATTCCAATAGATATGCAACAGAACTTCTTGGAAAATCAATTAGGTTTTTTACTAAATTTTTCCATACGTGCGATTCCTGTTGAAATTTGACTCTTGTTCGGTGCCATTGATAAGTGGGCTGCCCGTTAATTTTTGCCAGAAATGCTCAAAAAAGCTGCGGAATCTTTCTGTAAAAACAGCGAAAAACTGCTAGAATTTTGAATAGAAATCCAACAGAATTTTCTAACAAAGGCACTAGCTTCTTTCATGAACTTCTTTCATGTGTGTTATTTTCATTTTTCTGGGAATCCCTCAATTTCATCGATCGTAGCTTGAAATTTTCCCCTGAAGTCACTTTTCACTGAGATGAATGTACAATGCATAAAAAGGAGAATCGAACTTATTACGTTTCACTATCTGATAATGTAGACAGAGAATTACGATAAGTAGTAATTTGAGCCAAAAAAACATTCATCTCTTGTCTGACATCTCTGCTACAAACTCTGGTCATCAACTCTGGTTTTCAGTTGAAATTGGAATTGTTAATTTACACAATAATAGGAGTGCATTGACGATTTTTTCTTAACTCGCAAAAATCTTCAAACAATTTGCTACCGATTGGTGATAAAATTTTTTGGAAATAATGAAATAGGGGGGATAACGCCTTTTTTTTCAATGGTGATTTTTCAAAAATTTATTTAAAAAAAAGTCCTAACTATCAAATGTTTTTTATTAGCTCGCAATTTTCTTCAAAACTACTTCAATGAGGAAAAACATAAAAATTTGGAATATCTATACATGAGGGGCTAATTGATAGGATCTCCCAGAAGCTATATTCCATGTACAGGTTCTCTTAGTGACCAAGGGAACCATGGAAAACCCTGGCAGACATGAATGTTTCGGATTCATGGATCAACCGAGCTTCATCGGAGAATGGTTTTTAAAACTCTCTTCGATGTCTTTTGGTTTCTACATTGCCATATTTATTACTTATAGATAACTAGTAGCAAATTATTTCGATTTTACTTCTTTTATCAATTTTTATTTTGTATAAGAGGAACTCATCAGCCGAACAATCAGTTGCAGTTAGTAGGAGTTGTTCCTCGACCAAAATTTTCGTTATAAGTTCAATTTCTCCAATTTGAGGAATTCATTAATTAATTATTTCTCGATCAATATTAGCAAATTATGCCCATTTCCACTTTTGCTCGAAAATTTCCTACTGCTTTGAGATAATAGATAGTGTTTAGAATGTCAGTATTTGCGCTAAGATCCCAATAGAATACTTTTACAATTTTAGATTTAATGATTCTTTTCTTATATATTTTGAATACTAGGAACAGCGATATACAGATAACACCAAATAATTTAGACGATCTACTGCGATTTTATATAATCTCGGTTCACCAATTATGCATAAGTGTGGGAGTGTAAGTGTGGATGAACGTACGAATGTGTAAATGTCGATTTTTTGTCGCATTTTCAATGTATTATTTGGGAATGTAATGTGATATTATTTGCTAATTTTACATCATCTTACCTTAAGTACTACAGCTGTATCAAACCAGTATGAATTAACATCGAGAGCAACTGATTACACCTCATTGGTTTCCTTACCAACTACTGAAGGAGAAGTTCACCCACTCTCAACTTGTATCGCTCAAAAGTCGATCGTAAAACCATTTATTCATAAACAAAGTCGATATCAAGTGATTAAGCCACCGAGTGTTCGCAATGATTCATTGTTGTTTCAATTATCCTTTTTACATTCTAAACATTCCTATTATTCGTGTAACATTTATACTGAGTCAGAATAAAGAAACGATCGTTTTTTGTTCTTTTCATAAGATTTGTTTTTTTTTTTGCACGTGAAAAATTTTGCTGGGGCAAAATGAAATCACTGAATACCAGCATTGACAAGAATTTACAATTTTCAAGCTATTATTTCAAACTTCAATCTGAGACCAAGTAATTTAAATTTTATTGTTTGGTGAGAAGCTACCGAAAATTAAAGTTGTTCATTTCATCATACTTTACAAACAGCGAAATGATAAAAATTATTGTCAGTAGTATTCTTTGTCACAAAAAATACTACTGACAATGGAAAACTTTACTGATGACTTTTCAACGCTCCAATAGAAAACGTTTGCGAATTGCACTATTGCATACACTTCTCTCTTTATATACAACATCATTTGCAAACAATAATCGTGCTCCCTTGCACGGATGCAGAATTCAAGTATACTCATACATATTCACGCATTTTTTCTAATTTTTTTCTTCACCCGTTTGACGTGTTTATTTGTTCTTCGTCTGGGTGTGTTCATCGGTTTTGAGTGCGTTGATCCACGGCCTTAGTAACTTGCCTGGAACATCACGAATAAAAAGTTCCAAAAGTTCCAACAATCCAAAACCAGATATGGAATTGAATTGATAATGTATCAAATTCATAGGTGGAAAAGGAGCAAAATGAACACAAACTTCATCGAATTTTACGAGATGAGTGGCCATGCAGGCATTGTTGTTGTGCACCACGGCTAAATATTGATCCAATATCGGGTCCCAATTTAAGGCCAAACATCGGCCGCCGAGCATCAGGGCCCCCATTAAAGGCAATCGAATACTGTTTATTTAATTCAAATAAACCTTTTTTCTTAATAGGAGGTGGTGAAGAATGGGCGCAGATTGGCCGAGGGTGTCCCAATGTTGGCCAGCCCTGGACGACTGTCGGCCTACATTAGGCCATTCCTCGTTTCCTACCAGGGTTTCTGAGTGTAGGCTATTTTTTTTGATTAAATATCAATTTAACTTTATTTTTTGTAAATTGAGAACCATTAGGTACTGCAATTAAGAGCCGTGGGTTCTTCAAATGAGACCCGTGGGGGCATTTAAATATTACATCACTGATTAAGCAGGAAAGGGCGGAAGAAATGGTAATATGTCATCATGTCGCACCGTAATTAACAAAAATAACTTGAGTAGAAAACGATTTCAATTTAAGAACTCATTATTCTTGATTTTACTACCCAACGGTTCTTCATATAAGAACTCAAAGTAGTGGATTCCAGAACCAAAGTGCTTTCAAATGAGGGAAAAAGTACCTTGATCCAAGCACCATGGGTACTTTATTTCAATGTAAAAATGATTGACAACTAGAACTTTTTTCTTTGATTTTTGGAGAAAATTCTCTTAGAATAATTGAAAACTCCACTGAAATCCAACACTTCAAAAGCCTCTGGCTTCCAGTATTACTGAGTATTGAAATCTAAGATTGTTACTGAAAACCAAGTTTTTTGTTACCCGTGTCCGTTTCTCCCATAAGAACCTAAAAACGTTTGACCCTTTTTATTATTCTACTTGTCTCGCCTGTTTGATCCTTAGAAACTTTAGATATTTTTGATAACTCTGCCTGACGGATCATCAAGGCCATTTGACCCTTTAGCACATTCGATCCTTAATTTATCTGATAAACGCATTTTTCACTTACCTGGAAATATTCTGGATAAATTCCTAGTATTCTTCAATCGATTTTCAGCAGTTTTCTTTTATATGTTGCGTTTAAAAATTTCATCGAAATATTTTCTCAGGGGGAGATGCTCTTTCGCCTGTCAACTTTTATTCTTCTATGCAAAAAGAGATGGAGGATTACCATCTTATAGATGATGAACCGCGTGCATCGGCCGATTGGATCGAGAATTGCTTCTAATTGTCTCTTTTACTTCCTTAACTTCTGGTTCTGGTGATCACTCTGATATGTGTCATCGAAGTCTACTGAATTCCTGTCACGAGGAGATCTTCTGGCATCACAGGTGAGCTTTGTACAGGGTTCAAGGTGGTCATGATGGTCAAGAGACCATCTGGGGGATCTCTCTCTCATCTTAGCTAATGTATCTCTGAAACGAGACTCTCTTCTTTCTCGTGGGGAGCTTTCTGGGGAACTTATCCGATGGTCTTTTGAGTCCTTGCGTTCTTTTGATTTCTTACGCTCTTTAGATTTCCAGGATTTCTTCTGCTTTTTGGAGGTTTTCGCATGAGTGGATGAGCAGAGATCAGTTAGATTCACAATTCTACGCTCTTTGCAGTGATCGTCGTTACATACTTGATGATTTCCTTCGTGATCTGTGATATAATTACGGAGTCGGTATTAATACGAGGACTTCCATCGTAGTTCTTACATAAAATTAATCATTTTTTGCGACGATGGGTGGAGATGTTTTTCAGTTAAAGGAAGGATTTGAAATGAGTTCATGAAAATTAAAACAAGGAGTTGTATTTCACTCTTTAAAAGAGAAAATTGAGTAAGTAGTAGAAGAGCTTGAATCGACGATACTTCGTCCTGTTAATTATGCAGACATCTTGAAAATATTTAGCAACCGTAGACTATCAAGTTTCAGGAGGGGCCATCTTGGAAGAGAAATTACTTTCAAATCGAATTCTTTATTTTTTTATACGTTCTGAATTTATCAACAATCATCATCTTTACCTTCACCAAATGAACATTTACAGCACTTGCAGTCCGGTTTTTCCTTCCTCAAAATATTGACAATTCTGTCCCGAAGGCTAAGTTCATTTTTCCCAGTCTCCTTACTCACCCTCTTCTTTTTCCCTTTAACTTCCTTACGTTTACGTTTCTTTTCTAATCGAGTTGTCTGCTGCTGTTTATCTCGCTGACGCTTAACTCTGCGCGCTCGTTTCTTGTTCTCTCTCACGCAAATCAACGACGGAGAACGAGACGATGTCACTGAGGACCCCCTCCGCCACCTCGTCCCCATGTAGTCAGTGCTGCTCGTTGTCCAACCATGTTCTACATCTGATCGTTTTTGGAAATGCTCCGTTAAAGGACAACGATCATCACAGGTTTTTTTCCCCTTTCCAGACTCCCACGGGAAACGTCCTCGATTTTTGTACATCGCTATCAACGCTGTTATTAAAATCGTTATGACAATCAAGAGGATGAAAATTCCAAAGGCTATCCACCTGGTTGGAGAGGGGTCATCGAATGGGTGATGATGATCTGATTGTTTTCCAGACCTGTAAGACAATTTCTTAATTGAATTTTTGGAATTAGGAAGTTCAGCTGGGTGGACTCTTGATAAATTTCTCTGAATTTCTTCGTATTGGAGATCTTTAAAAAGTAAACTGTACTTTGATTTTCTCAGTTAACGCACAATTCAAACATAGTATCATTGCAATATTAGAAGCAAGATCAGTTATTTTCCTAACTTCCTCCAATGTCTGCATTTGAAACACTAAAGATGATTTAAATTAGATAACACAAATCTCTTAAAAGAGACGATAAAAGTGTATCAATTTCAACACTAGTTTTGACAGAAAAAAATCAATTATTTTTGCCAATCGGATTTTGATTAATTAGAGTGCAGTGAACAACATCAGGGAGCCTATTCTCGAGTAGATCGGAAATATTTCCGAGCTCGTAAGTGGCTCCGCAGGACGCAACGCCTGTGATTCCTATACGCCATTCGTATACAGTGCCACTTCATAAACGGAAATATTTCCGATCTACTCGAGAATAGGTCCCCAGGAGATGAATTAGGAAAGATTGGAACAAATTATGTTAATAGAATAATCTGATTTCCGCAAACTGTTAAATACAAGATTTGATCCGAAATGAGCTGAAAAAATGAAGAGTTATTGCGAAATGCTCAGATGAAAGATTGAAGAGCTCAAAATCCGCTTGGAAAAAATAATCAATGATAAAATTCTTTGAAATTTCAGAGAAACTGTTAAGAAAAAAAGTGTAGAAAAATTACATTACCCTGAAGAACCTCCCACAGCTTCAGACCTCATAGAACCAAAATCCTGAAGACGAATTTCTTTAGGCTCTGGTTTTTTGTTCGCTAGATCGACAAAATGCTTCTTCAAATCCTGATTATGATGTTCAATTTTGGAAATAGGTAAAGCGGATAGATGTGTTTTCACAGCTGTATGAGCTGCCCCGGACGGAATGAAGCTCTTATTTTTCCTGCCTTTCATTTTAACCGAGCTCGCCAAAGACTCTCTTCTATGGAGATATTTTGATTTTTCCTTCGGAGCTTGAGCGTGAATTACATTGTTCAGAATATCCACGAGTCGTCTACTACGTTTGATATAATTCACGAGGTCAGGTCGACCGAGGGTGCGAAGACCTGCTTCCAGATTCGTTCGAGCGAGTTTATTCCCCTTCCCTAAAAACAAGAGATAACAGAATACACTCCGTAGGAGAAAGGTGGAATGGTTGAAATTCATATTCAGTGAATATATTCTAGAATTTTCAGGACAGTGACACTGAATGTGATTTAGGGGGAAATATAAAATTTCTGACTTCACTGCAAATTCAATGTAATTTGGCGCTGAATATTCATATTACATTGGCAATTCAAATAAATTAAGTAATTCTCGTCTTTATGCTATTTAAAATTCTGGAATTTTACTGAATTTTCAGTGAAACCTGAAATTTCATGATTTTTTCTCCTATATCGCATTCAATATCATTGTCCTGAAAATTAGCAGTCAACTGTCCATGAAATTTCTTTTTTTTTCAACAGTGTATAGTATATTGTAAACCAAATGAGAAAAGACATGTTTTCCCCGCCCGAGGTGCACATCTTATTTTTTAACATGGCTGTAACGGGAATTTTGTATTTTACTTTCCGATGAATGGAAGGGAAGTGAATACTTTCCGCTCAAAGATGCAAAGTCGTTGCCGAGAGAAAAAAGTGCTGACTTTCAGCCCTTAGATCAGTAATCAGTACCTTCCGCCCAAGAGAGATATTAAAAACCTTAGACCAGATCTGATCTTATATTCACGTTTACATTCGGTGCATATTGTCTACTTTCCTTCTGAATTATTAACGTAGGTTGAAGAATTAAAATTTCTATCAGTATAAGATACTTCCGCGCATCAGTATTTAAAAAACCGGAGATTTTCTGAGTGTTTGCGGATTTGGACATCCACAAATAATGAATTACAGGTATTGATTTTAATAAAAAAAATGGAAGAAACAGATAGTATTTACCAATTCATTTACCAATTCATTAAAGTACCAATAATTAATGAACTTTATGAGTGTTATTGCTATCTGACCGATTTTTGGCAGAAAATGGCTAAAAATATATCAAAATTTAATTTCTTCCATTTCATAGAAAATGTTTTATAAAATTTTACTCTATAACCTTGCAATTGGAAAGAAATTCTAAATATAACATTTATAGAATTTTAGGGCTGATTTTTGTGTAAAGAGATGTAACGTGTCCAGAGATGTTACTTTGGCAAAGAAAAAAATTTGCTCAGTGAATTAGTAGAAAAAAGGTCTACTCCCATTTTTTCGTTTTAAAAAAATGAAACCAATGGCCTAATTACAAGCTTTATTATTTTTACATTTGCGAACGAAGAAAGAAGAGAGTCATTGTTAAATTAATGAATGAAAATCAATAGCAGACCGACTTTTTTTATTCATTAACTCACCTGGAAAGGTTCGATTCCACTCGCCTAATTTAATTCTACAATACTGCGAAGTGTTCTGGAATTCTGAACTTTCTTTCTCATTTTTCAGTGAGATAGAGGGTGTTTGTGAGTACATTGCCTCTAAAAGTTTCATGCACTCTGCGGGATGAAGCTTTTCCGATAAATGATCTAACTCTAGTGCATTGAAATCTGCTGAACACGTGATTTCCCATGTTCCCTGAAAATTTATTGATAAAACTTTTAATAAAAAAAATTCATTAAACAAATGGAATTTTCTAATGAAATTGAACTAATTTACCTGTATGAAAAATAAGTAAATAGTATAAAATCGAGTAAAACTCATCGTAAAAATAACCCGTACAAAACCCCAGCACTTGACATATTTATCTGTCGATTTTACCAACAATTGAAGAATGAATTTGTTGATAATGCAAAATTATCAACTTCAGCTCATGGATTTTGTACTTTAACCTTTTTAAAAAATTATTTCCATGCTTTATACCTCTGCAATATATCTCTTGATGATTGGACAAGTGAGTTCTCACTGCTATATTATTTTTAATAATTTTCATGGATTTTACGAGTTTTCATTCAATAAGAAATAATAACCTACAGATTATCGCTGTGAAAATGAGACATTTGGAAAAATCCTCACTCGAGACTCGCCTCAGGGAGCTCCTGGACCTCCCTCCCCTCCCTGAACGCTCGCTAGTCCTCCGGGAAGACAACCAACAGGATGCAGAGGATCAAAGCGTGCCGGAAATTCTCGAAAACTCTCCCTTCGAACGGTACCATTAAATTCCCTCTCTCCACCCAATGCCGAATTCCCTGAATATTCCCCATCAGTTTCAATCCCATAGATAGAGACTCTATAACGACTGAAAATATACAAGCTACTACAATGGAAGATGAAGACATTTGGGAGGGGAGATTGGATAGGAAAAAAATCGAAAGATTGAGAGCAAAATTCAAAAGTCATAAAATTATGATTTCGTTGCCGGTTGCCTGTGTCATCATTATTTGCACAGTGGTAATCACCAGTTGTTGCACTTTATACCTCAGAAGTCGAATTGTTGGATGTATTGCTATGATTAGACCAAAGAAGAAATTGAAGTAGGTAAAAACAATATTCATACAAATTTAAAACAAGTGGGAAATTGCTTTTGTATTGCATATAGTATAGCCATTTTTGCTAATAAATTAGCAATACGCTTCCGAATGGTTATGTTGCACATCATTTCCTTCTATATTATGTATAATTAATTGTTTATTTCATTTTATTAAATTGAATAAGATTTCTTTTCAACTAATTTTGTCAGATTTTTAATTTAGTTGAACGTTGACATCATCATTATTCTTATTATCCCTTTCATCTATACAGCCGATTGTCTTTTTACGGTTCGACCTCTCCCCTCAGCCCTTTGGTAAAATGTGAATAGAAAAATTTTATTTATACATACTTGAATGAATTTGAAACATCACGTTTGAAGAAACCATCAGGAAACTTACTTTCAGCGAAAATCATGAAACATTGCAAATTTTCAACAATCATAAAAAAAATCTAATCAACCAATATAGCTATCGTAATCATCGTTTAATTTTGACCTAATGGCATTAAAACAAACATTTTAAGCCATCATTCAATCAATTCAGAATTTTTTTTTAGTTATCGAGAAAAAGCCAATTCTTGAAAAATTGAACAATTTTTAAAAATTAATCAATCAATTAAATTTTAATTAATGGCGATCGATATGGTTTAACAATACCTACATTTGAGGGAAAACAATTAATTCCATCGATTCATTAGCGAACAATCGAAGAAAAGTTTGTTTACATACGTACGCTCATACATATGTACGGACAGGGTCCAAAAATTGCATTTTCGGACTTTTCGGATCATAATGGGTCGATATAATACAAAAAGTCCAAAACTTAAATTCGAACAAGTGTAACGCTTGCATTCGGAAGCAAAAAAAATCATTTCATTTATTTTCAAAGCAATTCCCTTGGACTGAATTTTGTTCTGAGTGCGAATTTTTATCTCAACCATGTTGATGATGTTCCCAGTTTTTTTCTCGCAGTAAATATCTGGATATCGACCCAGAGGTTGGTAGACGTCTCACAAGAGTAAAATTACTGCAGCAGAAGCCACCATCCTTGGCGGTTCCCCGTGCACGATCATTATCCTACGATTATGTTCACGTCGCGACGCAAGGCAGTACACCAAGTGTGGATAACACAGTAGATACAGCTCCCACCGGATGTTACACCTGCTGCAAGAAGAAAAAAAAGGGGAAGAAGCGAAAAAAATGAAGCCAGTGATGAGTCTCACCTGACTTCACCTCGTCAATAATGCATAATTTATTCTCAATTATGTGGAGAGATATAAGAGATGAATGATAGAATGAATTATATTGTTTGATGATCTATGAGTTTCTATCTTTCTATCGAAAATTGAAATGGATATATTATTGGCGTTTGTAAATATACTAGGGATGTTCAAAAGCGTTTTTTGTACTATCGACATTAATCTCTCGGAGTTGGAATATTTAGCTGCACATTTGGATCCCTTTGAGTGTCGTAGATTAGTTGCAGCTCTTCATTATAAGACGTATGAACTTCCTGAAAATATCGCTGGGGCAGGTCAGTATGAAATTCGATTTAAAGGGAGACTTCTCTGAGTTTTAACAGTCGCGGGCTATTGGAGTGAGATTTCTCATGCATTGAGGATCGGTTCGGATGTCTAAAAATGAATAATTAGTGCAAAAAAATTGATTGTTTATTGTTCGTTTGCCCCGCAGACACTTATTAAAATTCTAAAAATAGTCCAGAGCCCCCAATTTTTGAGTTAGAGGTTTTTTTCAAAATGTTTGAAAAAAATGTGTTCAATAACAATTGCGAATTAGTTTGTTGAAGTTCATCTTCTACAAAGTCAATTTCATTTTGTATAATACGGAAATTTGCGTCATTCCAATATCATTTGACTAACTTTTCATTAATTATTTCCAATTTCAACTATCTAAATAATAATTTGTAATATTGAAGACAAGAACGGTAAGTGTAGGTGTACCTAGCACTTCAAAGTTTAATAAGTATCCACTAAATAAAAATATTATTTTGGTGGCTGCGAGATTGAGTTGTGTTTTATTCGTAATAATAAATAAATCTCAATTCACCCGAACCCAACAGATGCTTAACTTTATTGTTTAGGGTATAACGAGCAATTCATAAAAACAGAAAAAATTGTAGATTATGTCATTAGGCGATAAAAGTATTATCTGGCGAATGTGGCTTTATAATCCGAGCCGAAGGCGTGATGAAGTTTTTCGTAGTGATACGGAGCCAAATCGATCGGGTGCGCTTTTCCCTAGTTATTCCCATATTCCGTCATATATCACAAATTGTTCACTGGGTCCCAAAGCCCAGTGAAGATTTGAGCATTTCACCGACGTATCCCCTTAAGGGGAAGAAAACATCTTTAGATTTTCAATAAACAAATCCTTTCAAGTAAATGGGGTGCCTTTTTTTCTATGAAATTGTCTTGTAAGTGACATTACCCGTGGAAGAATTATTATTAATCATTCTATTCTATTTTATATTCAGAAAGAAGAATTGATGAAGATATCCCATGTCTCCGTCAGCTCCTCCATTGGAACAATTCTCCATCAGAAGGAGTGGGTGAAACTCACGAAGACCTCGAGCATCGTCTACGACAAATAAACCGTCATGACTTGGCCAACTGGTTGGGTAAAACTGTATTCAAGGAGCTGGGTACTGATATTGAAAAGTCTCTCAAGAAACCCTTCGGTGAGCTCGGTGAGCAGGAAACTGAAACCCAGTTAAGTTTGCTGAGGTACTCCAAGAAGTTTATTTAATTTATTTTAATAAAGATATCCGATAACTTTAGAGCCCATCCACGAGACAGAGGAGGAGGATCCTTGGACTCAAGTTGACACGATTTTAATGGTTGTACTGGTGGGGCTTGGAGGATGTCTCGTGTTAGTCGTTTTAGCATTGATTTTCCATAAAATCAAGGGTGTTCTCGTTGAGAAAGAGAGGGAAAGACGGAGAAATTTATATGAAGAGGAAGAAACATTGTTGAATAGTGACACCGATTGAAATCGAAATTTTGTGGTTAAAAAATTTGTTATTTCAAAGACAAGTGGGTTTTTGTGGCTCGCATTATGGCGGTCGAATGTTTTTCACGTTAAAATTGTCTTTTAAATAAAAAAAAAGCTAGAGATTCTGAAATTTTGTCGAAATATCCAAGAGGTACACCAAATATGACAGGGTCTCGCAAGTTCTGAAATTAAAAAAGAAGTTTGTTGAAATTTTTGAGTTTCAGAATTCTTTGAGATATTTTGAAAGAATTATCAAGATTTTGTACCGAACTAGACCATTCTCGAACTTTTTAGAATAGTCTATGATTTTCCGAAGAAATGGGAATCTCGAAGTATATGAAAAGTATGATTTTATTATTCGAAGGAATAGTTTTCAAAATCAGGAAGCAACTCGAGTACTATAGGAGCAGAAGTGGGTTACTTTTACGAATTTTTTAGATTTGTGGATTCATTCTGCCATCGACATTCGTTATTCTCGTAACGAATCATTTTGAGTGGAAAATTAGAGTTCTTTGGATATATCCAACCAAAAATGTTTGTGCAAAAAAAAATATCTGAAGCTCTCGAGTAACTGAATATTGATCCAGCCTTGTTTGTTCGGTCGCATCTGTGAGTACCTGAGTTCCACTTCAATGCTATAGTTTTCCGATCAAGTCGTTTCGAAGGAAAGAGCCTCTCAAGACTTATGTAAATTAGCACACTCTCAGCATCTAATGGAATTGAACGAAAATGAACAAATAATACCAAAACGCTGATTTAACTAAAAAAATTTATTTGACAATATTTGATTAGTAATAATCAGATTAAAATCTCCAACGTTTGATCCTTATCCAATTGTACAATATTTTTTCCTCAATCACCGCATAAAATATATAATATTCAATATATAATAACATTTTAATGTACTCTTCCACCAGATAGATTGTCGCTCGCGACAAAGAAACTCTCTTGCACCATAGAAAGATAAACGTTCCACCCCAAGGAGATTTAATTTAATGATGAGAAAAATGATCGACTGTGCATTAAAAAAATGGATACTTATGCCCGCCAGTAGAACATGATTCCCTCTGAACTAAACGGTTCAATTACGTTCGAGGTTGACTCGTAAAACCTCAGTCACGTTCGAGGTCACTCATGATCCACCGAGGAAGATCGTAAAATTTTACTGAATGCCACTGATACTCTCAATGAAGACCAAATAACAAGCAAAATTGTTCAACTGTAGTCAGTGTGGTCTAATTGGGCAATTTTCGTTAGATCCCATTTGGCTCATACGTCTCGCCGAACGTCAATACATCCGCGACACATTTTTAGTAGGACTCTCGACCTCCTACAGAGTTTCACCCAGTGATTCTCAGATTTTCATCAGTTTGTTCACGATTTTTTCTGAAATTTCTTTATCAATTGAAGAAGAGATGTAAAATGGATCCGATGATTATTTCGGTAATTATTGATTATAAGAAGAAAGGTCAAAAGACCTTTGTTGGTGATGATTTGGTCAGCTACAGAACCGGTTTTCAACATCTCTTTTTAAAAAATACATGCATAAGCAGGGAGCTGATTGGTCTGCAAGTCAAAAAAGTTAAAAGTTGGCCGTGAATGTGTCTCGGTAATCGTTGGTTTGATAATAAAAATTCAAGCGGCCTTTTCTACTGAATATTTCCTCATCAACAAAAAATCTTTTTTGAGATTCTCATCTCAAAATCGCATATTATCGAGATATTCGCAGAATAAAAAATAATTGTGTTAGTTAGAAGTTAGATTGCTAACATTGATTAAAAAACAAAGGATCGAATTGGTGATAGAAATGGTTCTGAACAATAGGTGGTTCATAACGGCATCCAAGCCACTTCCTGTCGCCATGTACGATTACACCTCGAAGCACGTCCAAATGTGACTCAGTGAAAAAAGTACTTCTCCCTCTGCGCAATTTATTGTTTGCGTGATTTCAAATAGTTTTCGGCTTTAGAAATTAAGTGGACTCTTGAAGGCCCCTAAAAATGTGGGTATAGGCCGCGTCCAGAGTTTTCTTCCACGCTTCCTCGGTTTCCTCCGTGAATTTTGTACCCAGAGCCTGACGAAGAGTGTCCATCACTGCTTGCTTAAGATTCTGAAACCGAAAAGAATATTGTCTTAGTAGATATAAATTGATAAGTGACATAAAGTTCACTCAAATGTTTGTCTCAGTTCCCGCTAATAACCTACGTCATTTGAATTCAATTTCATGCAATCGAAGCTTCATTGAATCAACACCACTTCTTTCCAGTAGACAAACACACAGTTTCCAAACACAGAGTAGTATAAAACTTCAACTGCATGAAACACACAGACGTATAAAAATACAACTGCGTGAAACACACAGTAGCCTTAAAACCTATTCCATTCGATTCCTGAGGAAATTTGGGTTCCGCATAGGCAGATGGACGACTCAGAATTGCGTTTTTCCATTTCCTAGGCCTTATACAAGATGAATTAAATTAATTTTTTTTGGACTTTCGTTTTTCGCGATTATCTCGGAAACTATGAGAGATAGAGCCTTAAAACCTATTCCATTCGATTCCTGAGGAAATTTGGGTTCCGTAAAGCCTCTGTGTGTCTAAAGATGATGTCTGTTTTCAATTGAACAGCAGAGTTGTGACATCATTGTCTAGGAGGACAATGGGGTNTTTTTTTTTGGCATTCTCGTTTTTCACGATTATCTCGGAAACTATGAGAGATAGAGCCTTAAAACCTATTCCATTCGATTC